GATGATATCTCATAAATGTAGTTAATGACAATTCTTCCCATGCTTCTTTGACAACTTCTTCAGAGCTTCAACATCGTGATTGAGACAAAGCTTCAATAAATTACCGGCCTAGAAACGCATTTTGATCGTTTGGACGGACCATTCTTTTAGATAATGTATATGACGGAGATTTAAGGTTACCTTGAACTTAATATGAGGAAACATATCGTTAAAACAGGTTATAGTGTTCGGCTGTTATTTCGCAACAAGTGTGTATTTTAGATCTGACATTATTTCAGTTAACTTTCCTATTTAAATGCTGCAAATTGTAACAACAGTACCTGTTGAAACCCCTGTCGAAAAAGTTACAACATCGGCAAGAGCAAAATCCGTCGGTGAATGAACGTCAATGCATTTTTTTTTCCTGTATACGAAAAGTCGTCAGTTCGCTAAAATTGTGACCTAAATACCCTACTATATCAGCGAAAATACTTAAGAGTTACACTAAAAATCCATATCTTCTATGCGGCCAGTACCGTTCTCGCGACAAATACCATAACGCTCGATTAGTTTTCACCTGTGGAAGAGATTCTTTTTGCATAAACCTTCCACTGGCTCACTTTCGTTGAACCAGTACGAAAGCGTCGATTCTTCTGAGGAAGGCTTAATTGGCAATGTCCACCAGTCGTTATTATGAGAAACAAAAGATAAGATCGAGTCTCGTAGCAGTAATGACGATAACTCCGTTTCTTTGGTTTTTCTTCTGCCCTCACGCTCCCCCTTGCCTCATAAGCGCGAGAGACCCCTAGATGCATCTGCCTATGAATCACCTCGAAGTTTTACCTTTTACTGCCATAAATTAATGGACAGATTTCTGTTTGGATTCCTCGCGCTTCTCTTCAGCCGACCCACGAGGTGTAATGCGGTTAAATCGAGCGGTGCAGCTACCTGAACATTTACTGTGGGAAACATAAACATCATTCGTTCGTTGAAAAAGTTTATTCTTCTTTATGATGACGAATTCAGACTTCTCGTACCGGCCGAGGCAGCTGTTGCCATCGATGCTGGCATCTTAGAGCTTCAGGATAGCGTCAATTGTACGCAAGAGCTTCTGTTGGAGTCACACGTAGATCAAGCTAGGATCAAGTTGGAGCTTCTTGAACTATTAAGTGCTCTCACGGATGATTTGTACCAGAAAATGAGGACAATCAGTGATTCATGCGATAGAAAGTTATACCGCATTACTAAAAGACTATAGTTGAATTGATCGCGCTAAAACAGAACCGTGAGGCAAGCAGTAGTCGTTGGAAAAGACAATGCTGTTTATACGAATTATATCTGAATCGATCCGCGGAGCTCTATATTCTGAATCAGTTTAGAGGAAAACCTATTTCACTGTCTATAAAATGATGTAATAAATTTTGGTGACATGCTTAATCCGAACAATTATCGCTAGCTCTGCTAGTCGCAGATACCGCATTTCATAGTATAAACGTAGGCTTAAAAATGTTATGTAATATGCAAAAACATTAGAATCCCTATAGTAAGATGGTGTCAGATATTGATCATCATTAAGAGTCATTACAAACGATGAGGAGTTCCAAAATAAGGTCCGTTCATGAAGGCCTCCTGTTAAAATTTTAATTTTACGTGCAGCAATTATAGTTAAGGTTCCTAGCTACTCTAGCCAATAGAATAATAAGAATAAATGATATCGTTTTTGTAGTGATCGAACTGTCCCGTATGCAGAAGAAGGGAATTGGACTAAGCATGTCTGATAACAGCTTCTACACAGGACGCACGACACATTTGGGTACAAGTCGTTCTCACAACAAGTAACTCATCCGTCATTGCCTGACGCTTTGCCGTTCTATCGTTCAGATTGACGTCTTAGCCGAAAAAAAAAAACAAAAATACTGAGTGGACAATTTAATAATGACGAATTTCAGCTACAAAACAAATGCCACTCATATACTTGTAGCAAACGGTCAGTGTTCTCTTTGTTCGCATACGGTTAGTACCTGTTCTGTTTATATCGATAGTTCACGCAAGTTGCGTAACGCAGCTCAACTGATTATGACTGCTGATTAAAAATTAAACCTGTGCTATGATTTTCTCTGAAATACATTCATATATATATATGTATATATATATATATATATATATAAACCGGAAAGCTTTTTTACCCTTTTGATGAGTCCAGCGTTAGTTAACAGTGACAGTGACAAATTGACTTGAGAAGTATTGACAGAAGAGTGAAGCATTTATTATGGGTCTTATCGCCCTTCATAAGCGTTCGTGTAACCTATCGACTCTGTGAAGTTGGAACATTGATCCTCAAATGGCTAATTTGTTTTAATTAATTTCAATTTAGAATCATTATAAGATATTGTTGTTTACGGTACTGTCATAAGTTAATGGCCTGTTTAGTGAATAGCCCGTTTCCGATATAAACGAGGTTAGCCATTATGCACTCGAAGCCGTATGCGAACGACGTTTAGAACGTATACACCTAGCGCTGGGTGCTTGAGCGCGGTGAGTCGTAAAATACGTATACACTATCAAAGCATATATACATGTTAACAAGAAAAAACGAGATTACTCGCATTAGGAAGCTTATTGCGAATCGTTAATTATTTATTGGATTTATTTATAATATTTTTAACTAATAGTAGTTATTTAAATTCCTAGGTAGTGTAGCGCAGAGGGTCGTGATTTGTCCTCTTCCATTTTAATGTTTTTCCTTTAGTTAAGCTGACGAACAGAATAGTGTTCTTAAAAGAAGGGCTAACATCGAAAAGAGGCCTCCAAATCCGAGAACGTATAATAGCGTAAGGAAATCATACAAATATTTAGGCATCACGTTGGACCAAAGCCACAATCATCTGTCCGAACAAAACAGGATACCAACGGGAAAGTAGGTTATGGAGCCCAGGCAACTACAAATCCGGGCGCTGCGGATGTGTAGTGGGTTCGAGATATTCAAAGTCTATTGGCAGGCTGTGGCGGTACCGGGACCAACATCGACGTGAGGCGACAACAATGTGAAGAACTACCAGAAGAGAAAGAAAAACCGAAAAGGGCCAAAGAAATGCGGGATCAGTCTTGGGTATATCAGAACAACCGTTCGCATTGGAATTGGAGAATGGACCTGGACAATGGATTGCAGTGGATTACCTTCGAGAAGCGGGACCACAAAGAAAAATTTGATTCTTTGGCAGAATAATGGATTGATGCAAATCCTTGCGAGTAATCTGATGTAATGCAAGAAAACCATTGAAGTGAAGAAAGTAAACAAATGGGACCGAATATAGGTTCGATTGTCGGTGGCCAAGGAGGCACGTCTGAAGTAATATTACTTAGCTGTCAAACGATGAATGTCGAAACTGGCAATAGATTGTCGGCTAAACAATATCAGAAACAAAAAGGGTTTCGTAAGATATATATATAATGTAACACAGGACAGCTGTGTAAGAGGGTAGTCTTGCGGCAGGCAAAAGTATCAGATGGGCTCGACTACGTTGCGGCGGGAGTTAAAAAGAGGACCACGGGCTACTCGGGAGTTTGGTACTCGAAGCATCCACCGAGTCGATTGCGCATTCAGCTTCGGTGATGTACGGTGCCACTATCCTGTAGATAAAAGTTGCTATGTCAAATAGTTGACACATTACGGTACTCATCATAAAATCAATAGGATTTTATTTTCATTACGTTTTTCATGGTTATATGGTGTTAAAATTGACTTGATAAGTGCATTTTTTATTAGACGCAGAAAATTTATAAAGCTCTTTTCTTGGCTAGGTAATAATTATTTCTAAAAAATTGTGCAATAATTTATGTAATACTAGTAGACAATCACAATACGAATTTAAGCGAAATACCATTGTCAGCGGAGAAGGCCTACTGTAAAACTAGATATACTCCGCTCTTTTTCTGCCATCAGCAAATGAAAAATAGTCTTCAGCGAGACACTGGACACATTGATGCTGCTGGTGAGATTGTGATTGAGTTTATGACACTGTCTTGTTGACACCATATCTTGTGGCGTCTGTTTCTCTCTAACCTATTCCCTTAGACCCACCAAGATACCCGCGAAGAGGAAGTTGGTTAACATGAACCTTTTTCCAAACGACCTTAGTAGACTGAGCTAGTGCTCTCTGTCCTAGGTGTCGTGAAACTCACGCAGACGAAAGCTGGAGTGAGCGTTCTAGGTGTCTTGGCCGGAAGGCAAGTGCGTCAGATATCTGAGGTCAATGTGAAATCAAGCTGAATACAGTTATGTGGAGTCTATATGCGAAACTTGGTTTCTATTTTCTGGAAACCAGATGGTGTGCTTTTAGCAGGTGTTGATATTAATTATCTATAACATTTCTTTCGTATTTCTGTTAGTGGTTTTTAGGAAATCATTAACCTATATATATATATATATATGAGTTAGTTACTCTTAATTAATTGACTCCTAAGAAGCGGATCTGCTACAAATGTTCGCCACAGGCCCTCCACAAGCCGATTCAAAAATGCTGTTTATTTAAGAAAAAAATTAGTTATCAACCACGTATTCATCAATTGTATTTAATATGTATGGTACATCCGATTACAAATCTCTGTCAGTAAGTTTTGTTCGAGTCTACGTTTTGTCTGACTAAGATCGCTTTTATGATCCGTAATTTGCGAAGCTTCTGCTTTCTCCTTGTCTGCATTGAAGTACCACAAAAATCCTTCTGTTTTACGTCCCAGTAACAATTTCTATTGTTAACGGTGAAACAATTAGTGCGGTATCATTATTGCGTGGTGGGATAATGGCTTGACGACACTGACATCGACGGAAAGAAACAGAAAACGAAGCCATCGGGAAAAGCACTGACCAAGCAAAGAGGCGAGAAAAGGGAGACGATGTAAGAATGCCTCTGCGAGAAACGGCGATCGACCACGCAACATCGGTGAGACTTTCCTTTTCGGGGGCAATATTAGCTCTAAACTCTACTATGGACACTTGTACACTTGCAAATTGGACATTCATCAAGTTATCCTGCCACTCTTTAGGGTGTCGATTTAGACATTAGTTGGCTTCGCGTATCGTCAGATGAACTTACGCCATCATGTCGTTGGCACCGAGAAGCCAACACGACTTGTACAGGCCAGCTTGGTCGGCCTGTTAGCTGTCGGTCGAGCAAATTCATTCGGTCTAGCTTAACCTCTTTTCCCTTTGCTTCGCGTCTTCGGCGTTTGTCGTCACGCTCTCATGTTGAACGACACAGTGCAAACTTTTCAATTACCCAACGAAACTGGAAGAATGTGAAAGGTGTCCGGAAGGGGATGTTTAAACACTGAAAACGTTGAGAAAATCGAGAGCGAGTCTCAAGAGCAGAAAACGGTAGGCGGGCGCTGCTCGTCGGAAAAATTGTACTGTTGTATTTTTGGAAATCCACATCCAGAAGAGAACTGGGAAGGCGACGAAGGAGGCTTTACGAGACAGGCTTGAGGCACGTGGCCTGGAAAATGGTAGAGGATGTTGGTTGGCAGAGCGCAGCAGAGAACAAAGTGCAGGGCGAACTTTCCAAAGGCGGCAGACAACGTCGGAAGAAGAAGGTTGGCCTACGAAAAATTGTCAGGGCACTGCGATCAAAGGGGTTTGATGCGTCTATTGGTTGCTCCGTTTAAAATAAAACGTCGAAAAGAAAAAAGAAGCGATAGCAAACTTTTTAGGGTGAAGTCAAAGAAAATAAAGAAAAAGGTGAAAAGAAGATGAAGACAAAATGGAAATTTGTTATCGTATATGTTCATCGAGCCTAAGTCGGTTGAAAAATTGAGTAGTTAGATCCACAGTCCGATTATAACGTCAGTTAGTGACAAAACTAAGGATCGTAACTTATTATACCGTATTGTGCTATAGATAAGATGGTGCTACTGCTGGGGTCTGTATTTTTGTAACAGCTGAAATCCGTTCCAATTATATTGACTTTTGGAGATCTTAATTACCTGATGTTAGAAGGGAATGGGTTATAACTTCGGAGAGATTTTAAAGTCGAGCGAACCGCTGAGGTGCTACTTCATAAAAAGTCGGTACGGAGAAGATGTAAGTTAGCCGGGTTTTCTGTAAAAATTTTTTAACTTCATTTACTTAGTCATTTTTACAACTCGTTTCTTTAATGGATCAACGATTGTCTATTCAAGTCACCTTTTGCATCTTAGCGCAAGGGGAAAGCTACCAGATTTTTTTTCTAAAACCGCGATAGAGCAAAACAATATTTTTGTACGTACTCGAGTACTATATAACAGTATCCTAAAGTGGTAGTTTTCTTAATGTGATAGAGACGTATATAAACCAATGTTGACGCTTCGACGAAGTATAATAGTTCTCTTGATTTATCAAGTTGCATACCCAGTTAAAGCTTGCTAAGTAGAAAAGCTGTGAATTTAACTTGGCTTACGCAATCGTCTAATTCTCGATGGCTCGCCTAACAAAATACAAAAGTCATATTTAGGCAGAGATTCTTAAAACTCAAACACTGATTTTAATGGCAGCTATACGATATTTGCCAGGTTTCTATCGGTGACCTTTTACTTTTCTTCTCCTTCCTGTTTACGCTATTTCCGTGCATCAGCTAGCAGCAATTCTGATCGAATTAATTCGCTCTGACTAATATGCGCACCTGTTCAGATTCCCTCCCTTTTTTGTGTCTTAAAAATACGCGGTTTGTGTGAACTTGTCTGGGTACGCACGCGCGGATGATGTGCCTATGAGTTCAAACACACTGTTGATTCACTCACGGCCGCTGTTAAAAATGCAAAGTAGTTTTGGCAACTTTTAGGGGCAGGTTGATTTCGAAGACTTTCGGATCAAAGCTTTCCTGGGAAGAAGGACAGAGTTCGCCTAGGGGAAGAGGGGAAAAGTTAGTGATCTTATCGCTGTCTGTACTCGCCTTTCTCTCTCTCTCTCTCTTCTGTCTTTATATTACCCTATCGACTGGAGTTTCCTTGCGGCTATATTACCAACAAGTGTTAAAAAAAACCACAACATACTAACTGTTGCTGTTTTTCAGTTCCTCTTCTTCATTCTACTATTCGTCTGGTTCAAAAAACTCAAAAACGCTACGAGTAGCAGTAGCCTGGGCACTTTTGCATCAAGCGGGCCGATTGACCGGTTTCTGCTACACAGTTCACTTCGTGGATTTCCGATATAACGAGGGGATTAATTGGTCGTCAGCAGCTATAAAGAAGTACTGGATGTCGGCAATATTGATACGATACGACTATTGAATGAAGGTACTATGTAAGGATGAAACATGCATGAACCACTAATGTTTTTAGCCATTTAATATACTAATAATATATTAAAAAAAATCGTACTTACCGCTTGCAATCATCTTTTGGTTTTTGATTTGGTACGAGAACAAGAGAAATTGGCAAAACAACAGAAAATTCTATTGTATGTACTCAGCGATATACATTGGCACACGGTTGGCCTCAAATATCGCCTCTGAAAATAATATAAAACAATAGTTTTGTATTAATAATGCCCAGTTTGATTATTTTTCAAGGCATATGAGATTGTTAATAATAACTGAAACTGTTCTATTCAACAAGCAGCCGATTCAAGCTCTGTTGCTTGGTTCTATGAGTGGAAGTGAGGACAGAACCCTGTTCGCGAGTATCGACCAACATTCTGAAAGTTTTTTAAGAGCGGCTCTAGGCGCTCACTGTCGTACGTGACCTAGCTACATTTACATAAAATCAGTTGAAGTTCCGACATGTAATCACGCACGCATTTTTGAGCTCTGTCCTCGTAATAAGATTAGCAAGTAGATCCATACAACATTTTTTTGAATAACCCAAACGTCTTCTGTTCAAAGCAAAAAGTCCATGCAGAATATGGACTGTATGTACAGAAAAACTTACTTTCATACCTTCTTGTAGATTGTAGACGTAATTGTAATCTGTATTGCTCCCCACTTACCTCCCTCCCCCCCATCCGTTGAGTGTACATCCGTAAGTGTGTCGTTATGATGCATCTGACTGAAGTCGACCTCCACGTGTACGAGGGGTCTTTGTGGGTTCTTGACTATACGGTTAAAAGCTATTAAGTGTCATTGAAATATTCCATATTTTTTCAGATTCACAAATATTTGCTTAAATGTTTTTTCTTTTCCCCTATATACTTTATCGACGAAAGGGCTTTCTTGCTATTATTGTTTCTCCACTTTTCGTGTATAGCCATTACGAAACTGCATTCATATTTCTCTTATGCATGACATGGTACAGTGGTAACGTGTTTGTGTACCGAACTTAGAGACACGCAGTGGTTCACGCCTAAAGTCGAGCATATCTGCTTCAATTTCTGTCGTTTGAAGCAATGCTCGATGGCAGTAGAATCAACATAAAACTTGAATATTATGTTATCGCTATCACCGTATTCATTTCAATCTGTGCACTAAGAACAGTCACTCAATGCCCCATTTGGCCCTGTGCTGGTTAAATACACATAAACGTGGATGAAAAATGTATCTATGCAGCCATCATAAGCATCACATGCAATTCCATGTTCACTATATATCCAACTCACAACCGTAATGGCAATTGCTAGAGGGGGTTTACCGACTGTCGTAGGGGTTGCCAGCTGTTCGAATAACAGTGTAGTGGCCTGGAGCAGGTGTTGTTTTAGTGCTAATGCTACATGCAACACACATGAGAGGTCCAAATCGACAAACCTTGTACGCCTCGATGATGAAACATCATTGAGACGGAAGAGCATATCGCCCGCTTTTCGTCTCAGCTCTTTCTTTTTTTTTTTCCACTCAGACGACAGCTAACGTGCCAGGCAATGTAAAAGAGAATTGGTACATCTGTGTCATGGTTTTCTAGAATGACTATTTAAAATAGTCTCCCTGCGAATATGATAATTTTGCGATTGAGGTTAGCCGTAGAAACTGCCTGGAATTACAAACTCAAAATGTGCATGCACAATAGACCCTATTTGTTACTTTAGTGTCGATGTAATAAAGGTACCTGTTTTGCTGAAGCTACTTCAATTCGCGTGAAAAATAGTGAAAAATTGCACGACGTAGCGGTGTTTAGACGTATAGCCTTGTTACACACAATTACAGTACATGACGGAGACAAACGAATCCAATTACCCAAAAACAATACAAACCTACTTAAACAAACAAATCATCTGGTGCAGCACCATCATTACATATGCATTCGATGCTTGTTCATATGTTGATGAAGAAGAAACACATCTATTCCAGTATTTCCGACGACCAACACTATCAGGCGAAGGTGAGCAAAACACGCTCGGTTTTTTTTTCTCTCTGTGGGCCGGTGATCCCACTAACGGCGAACTCTGTCATAACTAATTCTCTCGAAGAAATTCTTTATTCTTCTATAGGTTTGTGTGTGTCTATCGATGCGTTCCTTCATGTCCACAGTGACACGCTATTTGTAAGAAGGCACCTGGCCGCAATTCTGGACGTTGTCCTTCCCTTGATCGGTGCAAGTTTTGTATCAAGAGATGACTACAAAAAGAAGATAACAAACCTGCTCTGGTTCGCACTAGAACATCGTACGAAACGCTGGCAGAAGATTGGCAGAGCGTATCAAGTCATCTTGTTGGTTCGCATGCCTCGCACGCTTGCGTCCACAGCCTGTTGTATTATTGTCATCGTCACCCCTTTGATGCTCGTGTTTGACAAGCAAAGGGAGCTGCGGCCTTTGCCATCCAAGTCACGTCGAGAAGATCCGAGGGCAAGCGGAAGGGACTAATTCACCAATCATCCCCAACAGTCACGGAAATAGCTTCTCGTGCATACATAGTTGGCCATACTTTTGTGCCAATTAGGAAAAATAAGGATCCCTAGTAATCGTAGTTGCCGTAGCAGTGAATTCCGATGTCGGTGGCGAAGGCGTAGTTCGACGTATTCGAACACTTGGTGTCGTACAGAGGGTATATTTATATTCTGCGAGTACACTTAACTATTACACACAACTGTTAGAGTAAACATGTATTTTATATGATTATATTTAGTATTTTACGCAAAATCGTTACCCGCCGATTTGATAGGACGAATCGACCTATGAGTTCACTTGAAGTTCTGTGGAGAGATACTTCTAAGCATTGCTGAACTGTGGTTAATATTAGAAATCATATAGACATTTGTGGTAATACTATTCTCACAATATGGAGACTATGCTCCTCTTGAAGGCCTAGCTAGTAACCTATTTGGTGCTTTCATTTTATGCCGAATTGGCGAGTACAACGATTTCAAATTTTCGCATTACCTGTTATCTTCTCTCTGTAGGCCGTCGGCTAACTTTGACCGCGTACACACAGACACGCGTGTTCAACACTTTTACCTAGCCACATTTAAACAACAATGACTAATTGTGTCTTTATTCCTATTATAGCTGTGCGCAAGTACGTCGATGTCTCTCCGAAAGCCAAGAAGGAACCGTAGGGTCTGGCAGAACCTAGCTAGAAAGCCACCAGGGGGCGGCTTACGCCGTCTCACTTCAGCCGAGTGACATTCGAATTTGCTTCGTTATTCTCTACTTGGACGAGTCCCGTTTAGCCGAAGAAATCGGAGCGGGATGCTGCTTGCTTGCTTGCTTGCTTGCTTGCTCAGATTACATCTCGAAGACATCCAGTCGAAAGACATTGTCACAGACCTGTCACAGAATGTTCAGTGGCGACATTTTTTGCTTCGTCGACTTATGCTACAGCACTGGGCTTCCTAGATCTTCTCTTGAAGCTGTCTTTTAGTGGCGAAGTTTTGCAACAGAGACTCCATCACGATGGAAATGTGATCGTTTTCAGTGGCCGCACAAGTAGGACAAGCAGACGAGTGCCCTGACTATCATGAGTAAAAGCCAACGATAGAGGATGGTCGGAACGTTATACATAAAGCTTAAAAAACTGTCTTTATTCAGACAGCTTGTGTAATATGGGCCGTCGGCAGAAGCGGCCACCCCTGGTTTCCTTCATGATAATAAAAATAGATTTTTTGTTTTTGGGTATAAAATAGGAACAGATTTAATGTTAAAGGCGCCCATTAGGTAATCAGTGTGTTAGTACATACCAAAGTTTTATGTCGCGTCAGATTTAATGATCCAATGAATAGAGCTGACGTATTCAGAAACGCAGCGCACCGACCTTTGATAGGAAAAATTTGCTCAAAAATTCTGTCGCAGTTTTTTGTATTGCCCTCTTTTGTTAACTATTCGTTTGCCGATAATCAAATGCTATATATGATTAGAAAGCTCTTTATAAAACATCATCTTCTTGTTTAGACAGTAGAATTTTCACCTCGAGTTTGGACTTCAAAGATTAACTAGGAAAGCCATGAACAAAGCTGCGAGAATGATCTTACCTCATTAACAACTGAAAACAGTATATCATCACAGATTTCTCGTAGCTTCTATTTAATTTCAGTCATGCTCTAGTGAATGTCTTGTTTCTCGCACCGATGCTACGCATTGCGTCAGGTCACAATAGTGCTTTTGCATTTAAATTTCAATGTTAAATGATATAGTAAAGAGACCTGGTTAGCGCTTTGGATTCAGAAACGGCACTCCTTGATGTTTCAGGGGTGCGTAGGAACCGCGGGAGTAACAGTAAATGAATAAAACTATATTCTGTCCTAAAGAATCTGTCCTTAAATACGGCGCGATCTAAGTCTTCGTGGTACCTTAAAATAAATAAGTCAAAGGTTGTATATTAGAGCTTTTATCATATATTTGTGATTGTTTATATTAAACAAACAACTTACTACCTAGCCATTTGCCAAAAAAATGGGATAACTACCTGGCTCAATATATGAGATAACAATCAGCTATAATAATAATAATAATAATGAATGTCTCGGTAACACATAAACTTGGCTAGAGCGCGTCAATGCATATGAGACACACTTGGCATTACATATTTATACAATCGTAGTAAAAAAAAAAAACTTGATATTGGCATAAGCATAGCAAGACGACCGGGAGTAGCGCAAACTAAGCGATCATTCAAGAGGCATAGTAGGAACAAATCTAGCCACGAAAAAATGTTTTTCAAGCACACAAGATGAAGAATAAACAAAACCCAATAATAATAGGAACATAATTATGAACTCTATGAATCTATAAATATAACAGTACAACGAATAGGCGAATAATCAGAAGATGTACGCTTTACTGACTCCTGCTGGATATATGTGTGTATCTGAAGCATAAAATCTATACGCCTACCAAAAACATTAACCGTATGTACCTTCAATGGCTTGCAGAGACACGTTATGGATCGTATATATCTACCAAAATACTTCGAAGTTTCATTTGCTTGTCATCTATTTGCGCGCCTGATTACCTACTCTGAGCTATGGAGCACTAGCGTGATCCGGCTACTGCAGGATGGGCCCTGTTTAAAAAACGACGTGCTCAGAATCACTAGCAATATAACAATCCGCTCGCCAGCACAAGTCGTGCCCGGTACACGGGCGGCCTTGATAGGAGTTAATGTATTTAATTTCTGGTTTGGTCATTTTTTGCCTGCAACTACCTTTGGCTCGAGCCCAATCAAATACATAGACGGCCCACTCAGTTGCAATTGAATTACTTGAAAACAGAAATCTGTTCGTTGAAAAGATGCGCTCACATCTGTAGACCTTCCAGTATAGGTAATATTTGTCTCCGCCTATCAGTAGGCGCTCGGTAACATTGTATCTACACATAATCCATTCGGGCTAACTAGACGCAACCTGAGGTATAAGAATATAATGCTCATTGATCAAAAATTAGCACCAAGAGTATCTTCAGCCAGGCAGAGATGCTACAATGTAACGTTCGATCATATAGAACGACCTCACTTGTATATCAACGAAATAGATCTATGTACGTCTTCGTTTATTGTTGTATGACTGACAACATTGATTTTCTATTTCTGGCAAATCATTGCTAGGTATTTCTGCTATCAATGATAAATACAGACATCTATCTTCAACAAAGCCATATCAATGGAAAGTATCTACGAGAATAACGGACACCAAGTAATACGATTTGCGGAATCAGTCGCCATATGTATCACTGAATAACATTGCTCATATATTGTTATTTTACTTATCTGTACAGCGCGCATTTCATCTATTGTCATTAGCACAGATGTAAGTGGCTCATTAAATAAGAGGACATATCTAGACAACATAGAGTAGCGATGATTTTCAAGGAAGACTAATGATGAGTACAGCCTGCGTGATTTGGATAGGCCGCGTATTGCCCTGAAAATTGCAGAAAAACAAAGCCTAGAGAGAGAGAGAGAGAGAGAGAGAGAGATTCGTATCAGAGTGACCATTATGGATAACGTAAATTGAGCAGATCCCAAAAGGAAACTGACCAAGTTAAAAGCAAAATTATCTCCTGGATGTATAAGGAAAGTTGTTGATCGTTTCAAAAAAAGCTTTTTAAGATATTTACATCAACTTTTTGATTTTCGGTCAATTTGAGTGGCGGCTCTTAAAAAACTTTCGACTACTCTTTTATTTCAGACTCATTAATTTAGAACATAAATTGTAAAGCACGGTAAGAAATTCGCAAAATAAATACTGTATTTACGATAAAAATCTGCATTTTGGCGGTCGCTTCTGAACTATTGTGGTAGTTTTCAAGGAGCTTTATGTACGAGGGAAAGAATAAATTTCGAGGGTAGATCTGAACTGAAAATCTATAACCACAATTTGGGAAATGTCAGATACTTTATTTAGGCTTTGGTCGTGATCGGATATTCTGAACGTGTTTTAGGATAAATCTCGAAATGCGCAGTAATTTAAAAGAAGCATTATCTCTGGTCTGTTTTTTTGTCAATTATAGGGAAAATTATTTTTATTATTACTAAATGGCGAAAATAGTTGAAGCTAAAAAGTGCACAGTTTTATTTTTTTTCGTGAGTAAAAACAAATCCAAGCGTTAAAGCCGGTGTAATTACGCAGTGGAGAGACCACGCTCTCGCATCGCCAGATCATGAAGCTGCTGCGTATGAGTATCTACGAGCCACTGAAGAAGATTGAATTGTGTTTCCTGTCAACTTTATGGGTTCTAATTTTAAATTACTATGTATATTTCTTATACACAGTCATTGAATATCGAAGCGAGCCCAAACATGAAATCAGTGTCTCTCCTAACGTTTTACTTGAAGTTCGTACAGCCCGAGGTACAAGCTTATTTTTCATTGTATGAAAGTTTTCAGAATCATTTTACATGTACAGGACTCGGCTTGTATATACCCCCTCCCCCCATCCCCAGCATAGAGAACCCTATATATCACTGAATTCATAAATCGAACGCACTACCACTATACCATCATAGGTATAACACAATCGTGAGCGCCGTCGGGAACTGCCTCTTCGTTGAACTATTTTAAGTAGGATTAAATTAAGATGTCGCGTGACAGATTTAATAGGTAATAACGCAGCAACATTGCATGTTCGTGACTAGGATTGACTGATCCCCTGAGGCAGTCCGTTTTTATCATTAGTCTATTATTCTAGTACGGGTGTATCGTTTATTTGGACAGTAGGGCCTTTAACGAGGCGTTTGCAATGCTGGAACACATAGGGCGCATCTCGTTCAGTGGCTTCATCTGCACCTGCTATAAGGTTCTGATCCCAGCACAGACTCAACTGAAGTGTGTATATTTCCTAAACGCTTACTGCTCTAGACTTCATGGGCGCAAGTGACCTTATTTCAAAAAGGATAACATTTTTTTTTAGTCTAATAAACATGTATCATCAATTATGTGCGTATAAAAGGCACATCATTGATGCGTTTGTCAAAAAACACTTGAGCAGATTAACAAAACCGATCGTCATTAACCGTAATTGATGCCTATAATATTTTTGGCAGAAATCGGACGTCCATAAACTGGGAGTTGAAAGTAACTTTACCAGCGCTGCTTCACTTTGTACGTTCATACGCGAATACTATAGCCGAGGAAAGCTCAGTAAATGAATTGGCTGTAGCGGATGGAACTTCGTCGCTAGCGTAGCCGGATCTACGTACGTAAGGCAATAGCAGTAACAATAGTAGAGACCAATACCTCTATTTTGTTGTCTATGCAGAGCAGAATTAATAGTAGTACGTGTAGCGTAGATTTTTATGCACGACTTTTAATTATATTCGTGACAATTTTTATCACCTTAAATATTATGCTGTCTAGCTTATTTCTTCGCTAGGTTTCCTCTATATGAACTTACTAATCAGGTATATTGTTAGATAAACTTCGATAATTTTAGCCTTCAGACACTTTTGGCAGTTTTTGTTCGACTTGGATTGTAAATTGCGATGTGAAAAAAAAAAATAAAAACGATAGAAGTACGACAATCGCCTAGTTTATATGTTTATGAAACATCTCTGCGGATGAGTAAGATCATTATATAGTTTTTAAAATAAACGGTAAAATTGGTGCTGTTTAAAACCAATAAATTCAATAAACCATTCTATAAATTGAC